GGTCCTTCCCCCCAGATCTCGGCTGGTACCTGCCGGGCCAGAGGCTTCTCACAGCCCGCAGTAGTGCAGCTGTGGCTGCAGTTTCTACATGTGACCCAAATGTTTCATTTTTCTGTGAGCAAGGAATCCCATCTCTCTGTGGAACTCCACACCAGACACACAGACAGAGGCTTGGGTGAAAGAGGAGGAGGATGGAAAGACGACTGGAGAAACCCAAAGCCTGAAGTCCAAGGACATGACCATCCTCTGAACCATGGGCACCCCGCACAGCTCACCAAGGCTGTGGTCCATTATTAATAGGAAAGGTAACAGATCTTTCTGCACCACACTGACCAAGGCCAGTGTTTCTGGCAGCTAAATGCAAAGGCTGAAATTAATTCCACACAGAAGACAAACTCCAGCTGCACTTATGCTAACCATACTTTTCAAAGGGAAAGACCCGAGGGCCCAGGGAATGAGTGTACTGAGGTATTACTCCACACCAATTCAGTGGCTGTAATATTTGCTGAAGAAATAAATAGGGGGGCTGTTGGAAAGTCCAAGATGCCTTTACAAACACTTCAGTTGGATATTAACACAGACCTCAAACTTGCTTGGAAGTCAGGGTATTTGGAAAATAAGAGCAAATATTTGTAAAGGTATAAGCTAGAAATTTATTAATTGCAAATTTAACTGTCACTTAGAAGTGACAGAAAAGCAAGCCATTTCTGTGTATTCGGAGAGAGAGGAGGAGCAAGCCTGAGCAAGACGAGCTGGTAGGCTGCGTTTTGCTTTCTTTTCCATTTCACTGGTTGCTCCCCCCAATCTGACTAGGGCTTGTGCCTGCTAGCAGCCAAACACTAGCTGTCCCAGCGCAGAAGAAATGGGCGAGAACTCAGAACTGGCAACGCCCACTATCAATGCTACTTTTGTTCTGAAATTTGGTCAAGTGCTGCCACTGCTCACTTCTAGCGGGGGCTGGCACACACGTTGTCCCGGAGGACACAGAGCACAAGCCTTTCTTACAGAGTCACGCTTGCCCCAGGCAGCACACTATGCTCCTTACCAGGACCCTTCCTACTGAACGTATCTCCAGGGCTCTTCCATAACACGGGCTGGGAGAGCTCAGCAACCCCAGGATGAGGGTGCGCACCGTGTTTCCTCCGTGTTTAGGAGTACAGTTTCTAAGCCATCCCTCCAGGCGGGCTTCCAGGACCTGACGTGGCTCAAGCGAGATCCTGAGGGAGCGTCCCTGAGAATATCTATGGCCAAAGTCTTCATGGGGGACCAACCCTCCTTTGATACCTTTCTAGAGAAAACTGCCTCGGCCTGGCTCTGGGACTCAGAGGGTTGGATGGATGTGTCCGTGCACCGCAGACACAGTGGTCCCACAGGAAGGTCCAGGTGTGGCTGCAGGTGTGCCCTCCACCTTCTGTTTAGAATGAGGGCCACTGTCCCAGCTGTTTCTAGAATTTTTTTTTTTTTTTTTTTGTACTGGGGATTGAACTCAGGGGTGCTTTACAACTGAGCCACATCCCAGCCAGTTTTATTATTTTAGGTTGATAAAGGGTCTCAACTAAGTTGCTCAAGGCCTCTCAATTAAGTTACTGAGACTGGCTTTGAACTCGTGATCCTCCTGCCTCTGCCTCCCAAGCTGCTAGGATTAACAGCCATGTGCTGCCGTGCCCGGCTGTTTCTAGGATTTTTAAAAAGCTTGATCTATCCCTCAGACAGTAACTCACAAGCTCTGCCAACCAGTCAGAAATTGCTATTTGGACTAAAAATCAAAAAGATCACTGGACAAGAAACTTCTCTGTGCCTTTGTTTCCTCATCCGTGAGATGGGGATAATGAGAGCTTCTCACCTTGCAGGGTTGCTGTGGACTGAATGAGCGCTATTTTACAACACATACATGAAGCAGCAGAGGTGGCTACGACTTACAGCTATTATTTTTATTATTAGTCTTTAATCACATTCTAGTTATTCTTTCCTGTCTCGATTTTTTGCTGTTTTCACTATTGTTTATTTAGTATTTTTCTTTAAGCTGACTCATTTCCTTTCTGCCTAAAATTTATTTTAAAAAGAACATCACCATGGCAAATGGGAAAACAGACTTGTGTCATAACCAGAAGGCAAATATAAAAATAAATACAACAAAAGCAAAGCAACATAAACTCAAGCCTACTCTGGCCACAAGCACTGACCCCCAGCCTGCCTGGGGACCCTAAGATGAAAGGGTCAGGGCGCAAAGCAGAGCCCATCTCCTCCAGGCACATGGATGCTGCAGTGCTGCTGCGGGGGAAGGGCCTCTCCCGGCAGGTCTGAGGGCCCCCAGAACCTTCTGTGCAGGCGCCATGTTCTAGGTCTTGCTGTCCAGCACACACATGTATTAAATGTCTGAAACATGGTTTGTGTGACCAAGGAACCAAATGCCTCGATTCAGTCTGCTTTAGTTAGTTTAGACCTCAACACTCACACATGGCCAGTGACTGTCCCCTGAGGAAGCTGCACAGCCAGGCTCTCCACACCATCCACGTCCAGTTGGGGGCTAAGCCCTTAGTCTCTTTCTAGGGAGGTCTTGTGAAATTAGGCAGTGATTTGTCATGGAAATGTAACAGGTTTATTTAGCAAATTTTTTTATTATTGCTTAATCAAAAGTCCTAGGTAGACATTGCTTTTAGCGCTCTTTCTGAGGAACTAACATTTTATCACCAGCACTGGAATTATCCAAACAGCCATGTTTCCATTTTTCACACTGGCTGCCAGGAAGCTCTCAGGAAATTTAAAATTCCATAAGAACCACTGTGTTGGATCCCGTGATAAATAGACAGACTTTCCACTTGCCTTCTAAGCTCTCTTAGATATTTGTTCCTTCTCTTCTTTTCATCCTTTTATGTATGTTTTTTTTTTCTAGAAATTATCTCAAATCTTTTGAAATTAAATGGCATGCATTTTTTTTTAATCCTAAAACAAATAATTTCCAATGGTGCCAGGATTTAAAGGAGTCTTCTGCTAGCTAGTATCAGTTTTATAAAAAACGCTGTGCAAAATCATCTGAAATGCTTCCAAACATGCTCCGATTTTGCTCCTGAGGCACCAAGCAGACATCGTTAGCTAAAAAGAGAACAATGTGTGCAAGAGGTGCTGTTGGGCCTGCTCCAGCCTCAGGACAGGCTCCCTGAGCCGGGGGCGTGGGCTTAAGCTGCTCTGGGTGATGAGGGAGCTGCCAAAATCTGGGCCGCAGCCTGGTGTGCTGGCTGAGCCATGCCCTGGAGAGCTCTGGAAACAGTGAAGGGGGGAGAGAGTGGCTTTAAGGCCACTGTGGCCACTGTGGGAACAGTCTCCCAGGCAACAGTAGAGTTGCTGTGCCCATCTCGCTTCCTAGCTGACTTTCAGAAGCTAAAATCTCTAGATCACTTCATGGGATGGGGACGGGGGGGGGGGGGGGGGGGTATAAAAGGTCAAGGAAACCTCTCAAGTGATGGCACATTTTAATTTTGCTCTAAGATAAAACTGCCTCCTTCACCAGGCAACACCTCCCAGCATTCCAATGACTGCAAAGCAGAACTTGAAGGTCACTCAAATGACCCACTTTGGGTGGGTTTTTTATTTTGTTTTTGTTTCTTTTGCTTTGGGATAAGAAGAGGATATTTGCAAGTCTGTCATATCTGGTTCTCTTTTTAAACCAGAGCTGAGAGCATGTCATCAACACTCAGGCTCTCCCAGTACATATGAAAAGTGCACTGTCGCCCAGATGAATGTGTAAACTAAAATGACTTTCTTGTGCCAGACTCCAGCTCATTGTCTCTGAGATTCTAATATGCACAAGTCATGCTTATATCTGAGACCAAACAGGGCAAACGTCTGAGAAGGCAGGAAATGAAGCACCTCTTCCTAATCTCACAGCAGTTTCACAAGATAAGTGCTGCCACTTCTACTTAGAGACAAACAAGTTTTACCCAAGGTCACAGGACTTAAGCCAGGGCTCCTATTTGCAACTTCAGGGTCCCTTTTCACCATCCTGCTTCCCTGGAGAGAGGTCAATCCCTGCTAAGAAAAATGGCAACCCCGCCCAGGTTTCTACAGAGCTCAGGGGAGTCAGAACTTCACTTCATGAAATCACTGATTTAAGAGGGGAGCGGAAGCAGGAAGCGGCTCAAGAGCGGCGCTGAAACGAGCAGTTCCAGAATCAGCAGACACAAGAAGCTATTGTCAGGGTTCAGGGTAAGAAAAAAGTCTGGAAGTAGACAGGGCTCAGAGGGGCATCAGGAAATCAGAGCAAGGAGGAAAACGGGGTTCTCCTGACTGCAAAGTCACCGCCAAAGCAGACAAGGGTCTGCAGACCTAGAAACCCAAGCATCTCCTAGAGAGGCCACCTCTACTGCAGGGAAGCAGAGATGTCCACAATCTGAGCTTGTCAAGTCTCCCTTGCCCTTCTGTTGAAGACAGTGGCCTGGTTTTCCTCTGGGCCACCACCTCTCCCCTTTCTCAGACATGAGGTTAAGGTCAGTCCCAGCATCAGCCACAGTACACGAGCGAAACTGGGCCAGCCAGGAAAGTCTACCACCCAACCCCAAGGTTCAGGAATGGACCTGAGATCCCAGACAGACCAGCGAGCTGAGGCCCAGGACCCCACCAAAGCCTGGGGCTGCTGGGAACTCCCATCAGCCGCAGAGACCCAGCCATGCTGGCTGCGCAGCAGGAAGAGGAGGCAGCAGCAGGCTCCTGACCCCAGGCCAAGCATGCCTGAGGCCCGACCTAGCCCAGGACTTGTCACCACCACACCAGCCAACAGATCCTCACGTCTGCTCAAGCAGCCTGAGCTCAGTTCAGCAGCTGTCACCCTGGGAGACTCAACTGGCACTAGGCTCTCCCCTACTCCTCCTCATGGACAAAGGGCCACACACACCTCCTCAGGGCGGCTGGAGGGCTGTGGCCTCCTTCCTACTACAGCACCCCAGCCCCAAGGGGGCTCAGCACCTGGTTAACAAACAGGGCTGGCGTTAGAACCCCGAGCTCACCTGATACACGTGGAATGCATTCGCTGCCTTGCCGCGGAGGAACACCGACGGGATCCAGACGTTGATCAGCGCCCGGTTAGATCTGACCAAGAGAAATCACACTGTCACTTACAGAAACCAACAAGTGGCCACTGTCACTTACAGAAACCAACAACTATACAGAAACCAGCACAGGAAACAATTTTCTCCTCTAAAATTCTGCACAAAAAATTCATACAACATGTATTGCTTGATAGTGAACCTAGGGACCAGTTCAAGTCCCACCCCTCATCTCCCAGGACTGTTTTCAATATATACAACCATATGAATTTATATAACATGTTATATGTTGTAAGTTTACACATGCAGTTTATTTTTTGAAATGAGAAAGAGCTGCCCTTCCATTCCTGCCTACTGAGGGACCTTGGCCTTCAGAAGATGCCTTGGGCCTAGAATGTGTCTGATGCTCAGGCTCCACCTCTCCTTGGGGACAGCAATAGGGATGTACAGGAAGCCATGCAGAAGGACACCAACAGCTTTAGAGCACCCTGTGGAGCCACACTGTCTCTTCACTGCACTGACTTCAAACTCTCACCCCCATTTCATGTGAGACTCCACAAAAGAGCTCAGGAGACTAACACTCTGAGTGACTGCTGTTTGGGGCAGGGGGTGGGAAGGATACCAGAAAGTAACAAGTGGGAAAACCAGGATGCCAGGCACAAGTACTCTTTCGACTTTTCCAAAAACACTGTCTGTGGGTCTAATGAAGCAAGATTGATATTCAAATACATGGCCTTGGCCACGGCTGTAGCTCACCACAGTGTTGTTCAAGTGTTCTGTTTCCTCACTGACCTCCTGTCTGGTTGTCTTATCTATCAGTAAGTGACTTTTCCTGTTTGACCCTTTCTGAGAAGAAAGCTACATTTTCTATTTTCCTTGTCTTTTTGTTTGGAGACAGGGTCCTGCTATGCTGCCCAGGCTGGCCTCCACCTCCTGGGCTTGAGTGAGGGGAGGTTGAACCTTCCTCAACAGGCCACATCTGAAGGACAGGGAAGAAGATTCTGCCTGGCCCTTAACCCAGGACTCAGACCACATCCCAAACCCAAGGAAACCTGAATAGAAATCATCTCAAGACCAATGGTTTCTCTAGGGTATCAAGAGGCAAATGGAATCAGAGCTGTGCACAGATCATGGGAGGCTCATGACCCAGGAGATGCAGATACCAATACCTACAAGGGGCTGCTGGGTGAACCGACAGAGAGCGAGGGGTACAGCCGACCCAGCGCACTGCCCTGAGTGAAGGGGACAGCTGCTCCCTGCCCTGGGGACTGTGGCCACAGGCACAGGAATCTAACTTTCAAATGAAATTTTTAAAATTCAAAATTTTATGTGACACCTTCCAAATCTGAAATGTCAGCCAGGGAAAAAGCTTTTCAAAAACCCAAGGGGAAGATAAAACACACCAGAAGGCCCGGGCTGCGGGAGAAGCACCCTCCATGACAACCGAATCAACCTGATGTGGGCTTAATGGTGATTTCTGTTTCCCCGGGGGGTCTTCTGGGACCTGAGCCAGCAACAGAGTCCTGTCTCTAAAGTACCCCTCGTGAGCACATGCCATGGACTTACATTTCAAAATCCGACAAACTCTGGTCTTCGGATGTTTGACTCAAATCTCCAGGCACCTGCCACCAGGGGAGGAGAGAGGAAGAGAGAAAATGCATATGGTTACCATGGTTTGCATAATCACGGACAATTTCTGCCTCGCAATGATTCCCGAACATTTCCTGTTCAGAATGAGGTGAAGAAGCAGTTACTAGAAAATAGTGAGAGATTTTGTGCAGGGATGGCTGGAGATAATGTTGCAGTAATAAAATATGCCACCATGAGCCATCTCAATTATCTTTACAGGAAAAGGACTGCTAATCCTATTGAGATAATCACAGGCATGTAAAAGCGTGTAATTTTGGAGCTATAAAGGGCTAATTAGGATCTGAGATGCAAGATATCAGATGGTGATGGGGAAAATATCCATTGTCACCATGATGGGCATCACACAGACACACAAACACCAAAGGCCAATGTCTACCCTGAAACGGCCTTGACCTTTCCCCACAATGTATGAGAAGTTCAGGCAGCACCTGGCTTCTCCTCACTCAGAGGGGCCTTGTGAGGATGTGATGGGGTAAGAGAAACCAGGCTTCAAGGTACAATGGTCCCCACCAGGGCTGCCCAGGGATGCTGATGGAGACAAGGGTCCAGCAGGCACTCAAAAGCCTGTGGGATCCCGAGTGAGCCCCACCCTTCCAGCCTTGATTCTGTCCCAGGGAAACCAATCCTCAGGACTGTCCCAGGATTCACAATTGTTCTATAAAGCAGGTTGCAAAATGCTCAGCACCAGTAGATGCTCCATAAACAGCGATGTTATTCCAAAACCCAGGAAAGGAGCTTCCTTGAGAAATTGAATCCGCTAGGGCTCTAAGATGTGGGCCAAGGCTAAGGGGAACCCAATGGAATGGGGAAGAACATAAGGTAGTGAGGGGAAAAGAGAGACCCTTGAACTCACACCTTCACTTCTCAGGACTTCAGTTTATCCACAATCTTGCCAATTCCATAACAACCCCAGGGATGGGTGTTATCCCCCAACTTTTCGGAGGTGGCAAGAAAGGATGCGTAACTTGCCCAAGATCATATCAGGAAGCAGACAGGAACCCAGGCCTTTAAGACTTCTAAGTTTCCTCTGTCAGGAACCCTCAGCAAAGAGGAAAACCAGCTCAAAGGCAAGGCTTGAAGCCCCTCGGCCTGTGCGGAAGGCTGGACGTGAAGCAGCTCTTCTTGAAGAACTAGGTTCTGGCTTTGAGGGTGAGAGTGCAGTGGATATGGAGCCTGGGCCCAGGGTCAGACCCCTTCTTCCTGTGTGGCTAAGAGCAAATCACTTCTCTGTGTTGTTCTTTTCTCAACTGTGAGGTGGGTGTAACAGTGACATGGGGTTGTCCTGAGGATAGAGTGAGCTGCTATGTGTAAGGTACCCAGAGTAGAGCCTGCCGGGAGAAAGATCTCGTGTCTCTGAGCTCTGATAGCAGCACCTGTGAAGGCAGGGTCATGTGTTCTTTACCCTTCAGCAGTGTGCTCAGACACAGAACCTGGCTGGCTAGCTCAAGGGGGCCTTCCCTCTGTACATGGCAGCCACAGGGAGAGCCACTAGGTTGAGCCCTCCACAGACATCTGTGCTGAGCCATCAGCTTGGGCTGCAGGCAGATGACCCTGTGATGGCACTGCGAACGGACTCCTGCAAAGCAGCCAGGAGGCTCCTGCCTTGCTTCTGGTCAGAGCCCCAGTTTCCTACAGTCTTATATCCCAGGGGTCCAGGGATCTGCTGGGCTGGGCATTGGTGCCAACCCGCTACTGCAGTGACCACCACTTTCCAACAGCTGACTGCAAAGAGATGGAATATTAGGAAACATGAGGCTGCATGTACCAAGATCCAATAAAATATCCATGTCCTGTGACCCAGGAACCCACCAACAAAATTCATCTATAAGAAACCCAAAGACACCACCAAAATTTATGTCAAAGATCATCCCTCTTTACACTGCTTAAAGAACTTAAAGAAAAAGATTACAATCTAAAGATCCAACTGCAGAGAAGTGGTTCAAGAAATTATGATGTCCACATGAGATGGCCAGGTTGAAGAAATTTCAAATAGGCTTTGCATACACGTGTGAATGTGCGTGCAGACACATTGCACACACACACATTCCTGAGGCTACAGACCTAAAAGTAATTCTGGAAAAATACTTAATAAATAGGAAAAATGGCTATTACCAATAACAGATTAGGGGTGAGATTGGGAGGAAAAAGGCCCATTTTTCATTTCCTCTTTCCATAAGATTAAAAAAAAGTATGGCTTAAATTACTTTAAAAAAAATGTAATCATGCTTCTAAAGAATGCACTAGCTTTCTCTGTGTTATTATGAAAAGACATCTTAGATAGATCAGTAGGGGAAGCAAAAGCAGGGTGCAGATTAGGGCCAGAACGCTGCCTCGGGGGCAGACGTGGGGAAGTGAGACGATCCCACTGAACTTGTTTCTGCATCAAAAAGCTGAAGACGTGAATCCAAGAGACCAAAGAAAGGGGTGTCCAGGGGCAGGGCCTGGGAGCACAGCACTGGGAATGAGGCTACTCGCAAATACTCTGATGGCATGTGAGTTGTGAAGGAAGTTAAAGAAATTTAATACAAATGTATTAGCTTCCCCCAAAAGAGTGCTTTTGATTAATGTTTCACGAAAGAGATGAAAAACTCTAGTCTCTGTTTAATAACAAGCAGCTAGAGACTGCAAATGCCCAGTGTGTCCCCAGCTCACTTGGTGTCGACAGGGTTGGGGTGAGATGCAGCCAGATGACACAGTGGTTGCCTCTGAGAAGGAGCCAGGTGACAATGGTGGCTTTATCTAAGAAGCCAGGTGACGACAGTGGCTGTATCTGAGAGAGATGCCAGATGACAGGGGCCACATCTAGGAAAGAAGCCAGCTGCCTCTGAGAGACGAGTCTGTGATTTAGATTTGGAACTTTTCAGCATTTTCTACATCAAGGACGTGTTAGTTGAGTGGCCACAGGCAGACACACGTCCTGGAGCAAGCTCAGTGTGCATCATGTGGTTTCTACATCTCTTTCCCACCCCAGGCATCTCACCAAGATGCAGAAGGCCAGATGGAAGGGGCTTTGCCTTCGCGTTCACTGATCAGGGATGGAAAAGGATGGAGCCAGGGTTCTGCACCCACGTGGCCTTCCAGACACCACCCTCCTCTCTCCCTTGTGCACCCACATGGAGTCCAGTGGGAGGGGCGCGCATCTGCTCCTCAGCAGGACTGTAGGTAGCGCTCGGCCATCGAACGTCTGAATCTTCCCTTGCACCTGGGGCCAGGCAGGCTCTTCTGGGCATGGTGTGTGGATTAAGGATCAGATTGGAGGAGGGACTCACAGGTTCTGGGGACACCAGTTCCCTCATGATGCACAAACACCACCTCCTTTAAACACAGCCACAGCCCAAACACAAAGGGAACAGAGCTTGTCCCCAGGGGCCTCATTCCCAAGCACCTGAGCATAGGCATCCCACAAAGCAGAAACAAAGGGCAACCAAAGGGATGGAGGGAAGAGACAGACAGGGCGGCCATCTTATTGACAGACATCACTTTACAAGCAACAAACAGCTTCTTCCAAATGGATCAACTCAAGGTCCAGATCAGTTTCCCCCCACAGGCTGCTGGTTTCTGGAGAATCTTAGATGGCAAGTGCATGGGTCTGGGGCCAAGTCCTTTTGAGTTAGACATTTTTCTGCTAATGCTGTGACCTTACTGGGAGTAGCAAGCTAGATGTTTGTGTGTCTACCCGAGTGCCCACGAGGCTGCTTAGAAGAACCCGTGAACTTGCAAGCCTCTGCGGAGCATGAGGCCAGGCTCCAGGACAGTAGCAGGGTGACAGTGGCAGACCAGGCTCAGTGAGCATCTTACAACTGTCTTCTTGCTGCCTGCCCAGAATGGCGCCAGAGCTCCCCTGGAGTCCACAGCAAACGTCCAGAAAGCTTCCTCTACTTCATATGCTGGTGATAAAAGAGGGTGGGGCAGGGACTATTTTATACAAAAAAAATCAACTTTCTATTGATATTAGCCACCAACATGCCCTATGGCCTCCTGAAGTCTGGAGGATCTTGAAGGACTCATCTCGGGGACGCGGCCTTCTCTTGGTTCACCTTCCATACAGGGCATAAAGAAATGGGCAGCTCCCCCTCTGCCTGTGGTCTGTGCAATCATGTGGCAATAGCTGGGTACAGGGAGAGCAGAGTCCAGTGCTAGGGAAACAGGGCAGCAAGAGTCCTCGATCCTCCTGGAGCAGACGGCACCAGCGTTGCATGTGTGAGGACACGGAGGGGCAGAGATCTGTGAAGAATTCGCTCCTGGTGCAGGAACAGTGGTTTCCACGATCCTTCCTGACTTGGGCTTCCCTGGGCCTGAGAGGCAGGGACGGGCCATGAGGGCAGCTCTCTCATAGGCCTCGAGCTCCGACTCCCACGTCAACATGGACTCCAGCACTGACTCAGCCTGCACCATGCTTGTCACTTCCCCAAACTTGGGCAGAGCCTAGAAGTTCTACAGCTCTACCAAAGTGGAGGATCGTCCATTGCTTAATAAATGCTTATGAAGGAGCAAGGAGGAGGAGAGAAGGGAGGGGAGGAAAGGAACATCAGCCAATCTGTCAAATCCATGGACAAAAAAAGCAAGCTCCCTCCCTTGGGTGGCATCAGGATCTGGACAGGGCTGGCAAAAGCCTTCCCTCCTCGGAGATGCACTCAACTGCAGCCCCCAGCTGAGTGCTTTCATGTCACAGCTAGTCCCAGGTCCTCTTCTCAACAGCCTGTGGGCAGAGGTGTCACCTCCACTCACAGGCAGGACAAGAGGGCTCCATGTGAATAAACAGGAGGGGGAATATTGTCAGGAACCCACCCAGTCTCCTAGCCTGCTCAGGAGCCTCAGCAATTTCAAGTGCTCAACTATCTCCAGGTGGGGGTAGGATGCATGAGGAATTCTGGTCCATAATTCCATCTACATCATATTGGACAGTCAGCAACAACGGCCGGATGAATAAGGATGCCATCTTGGACGTCCAGTTCCGTGCGGCTCCAGATCA